CTAACACAATTCTTCACAGACCTTGAAAGAACAATTCTCAACTTTATATGGAGAAACAAAAGACCCAGGATAGCCAAAACAACCCTGTAAAATAAAGGAACTTCTGGAGGCATCACCATCCCCGACTTCAAGCTCTATTAAGAGCTATAGTCCCCAAAACAGCTTGGTATTGGCATAAAAATAGACAGGCAGACCAATGGAATAAAATAGAAGACCCTGACATTAATCCACACAGCTATGAACACCTGATTTTTTTATTTATTCAAAGTGATTTTAGTGCTTGTGTACACAAGAGAATTTATGCCACTAGAGCAGAGGCTATAGATGACTCATATTTGCAATTGGGTTATGGTGCTGGCACAACTGGATGCGGACATGTAGAAGACTGCAGATAGACACAAGCCTATCGCCATGCACAAAACTTAAATCAAAGTGGATCAAAGACCTCAGCCACACTGAATCTATTAGAAAATAAAGTGGGAAATACCCTTGAATTAATTGGTACAGGAGACCGCTTCCTGAACATTACACCAGTAGCACAGACACTGAAATCAATTGATAAATGGAGCCTCCTGAAACTGAGAAGCTTCTGTAAGGCAAAGGACACAGTCAGCAAGACAAAATGACAGCCCACAGACTGGGAAAAGATATTCACCAACCCCACATCTGACAGAGGGCTGTTATGCTGGAGAGGATGTGGAGAAAGGGGAACACTTCTCCACTGCTGGTGGGAGTGCCAACTTGTACAGCCACTTTGGAAATCAGTATGGTGATTCCTCAAGAAAATGGGAATCAGTCTACCCCAAGATCCAGCAATTCCACTCTTAGGCATATACCCAAAAGAAGCACATTCATACAACAAGGACATCTGTTCAACAATGTTTATAGCAGCACTATTTGTAATAGCCAGAAAGAGGAAGCAGCCTAGATGCCCCTCAACTGAAGAATGGATAGAGAAAATGTGGTACATTTACACAATGGAGTACTACTCAGTGGAAAAAAACAATGGAATCTTGAAATTTGCAGGAAAATGGATGGAACTAGAAGAAACATTTCTGATCGAGGTAACCCAGTCACAAAAGGACAAACATGGTATGTACTCACTCATATGAAAATTTTAGACATAGAGTAAAGTATTCCCAGCCTACAATCCACACTGCCAGAAAAGCTAGTAAATAAGGAGGACCCTAAGAGAGACATACATGGTCCCCTGGAGAAGGGGAAAGGGCCAAGATCCCATGAGCAAATTGGGAGCATGGGAAGAGGGGGGGAGATAGGAGAATGAGAAGGGGAGAAGAGGAGGGATGCAGAGGACATGAGGGAGCAGAAAGGTTGAGTAAGGGGAAGAATAGAAGATAACAAGGATGGAGATACCATAATAGAGGGAGACATTTTATGTTTACAGAGAAATCAGGCACTAGGGAAATGTTTGGAGATCTACAAATATGACACCATCTAACAATCTAAGCAACAGAGGAGAGGCTACCTTAAATGCCCTCCCCTGATAATGAGATTGATGACTGACTTATATGCCCCGATAGCCCTCATCCAGCAGCTGGTGGAAGTAGAAGCAGATCCACAACTAATCACTGAACTGAACTGGAATCCAGTTGCAGAGAAGGACGAGCAATGAGCAAAGGGTCCAGACCAGGCTGGTGGAATCCACAGAAACAGCTGACCTGAGCATCGGGGAGATCTTGCTCCCCAGACTGATAGCTGTGATACCAGCATGGGACTGATCCAGACATCAGGAACATGGGTTTCAGTGAGGATACCTCGGAAATCTATGGGTCCTCCTGTAGTAGTTCAATACTTATCCCTAGCATAGGTGTGGACTTTGGGAGCCCGTTCCACATAGAGGAATACTCTCTGAGCCAAGACACACTGGGGTGGGCCTAGGCTCTATCCCAAAGGATACAATAGATTCTAATGACACCCTATGGAAGACCTCATCATCCAGGGAGGTGCAGAAAGGATATGTAATAGGTGCAGAGAACTGGGATTGTTATGTAAAACAATCTTGTTTCTAATTCAAATAAAAAAATCTGCAAAAAAACCCCAAAAAACATAAAACAATTTCCTATGCCTGTGGTAGTCGTAACTAAGCCAACCCAGATATACCTGATACTTTTTCCCCTCACATGACAACATTACTTCCATGACTGCTCTTCTCCCATCTCTTGTTGAGGGTATATGGTTCTGAGTCACACATATGCTTTGTTTTACTTGAAGAGTTAGCAGCAGTCAAGACAGTTATCACCTTGTCCTATTTGGTAAAATTCAGCAAATAGCAAGTGATCTTTTGACTGTTTAATTCAGTTAATATGTGGCTTTGCTGAACCAGGCTGTGCTAGTTCTAGAATGACCTAGGATAAGCTAATTCTTTGGCTTTGCATATGCAACCAACAGTACTCTACTACTTCTTTCTAGCTAGAAAGCAATAGTGGTGGCTAACCAATGACAGGTTTTAGCTCTTACACTTTTCAGAGGCCCAGTTCCATTATGTAGCTCAGCTTCCCAGTCCTCCCCTGTTCTGATAGTACATACAGGAATCACCATCCAGCTGATTCTTGGTATTATGTGTGCTTGCTAGTATGGAGGAAATATTATGATCTTTACATTTATCTCCAAATTTGGCAAATAGCATAGTTTTTTTTTTCAGGTGTAGTGAAGATGACTAAGAGCTCAGGATGGTCGTTTCCCATTTTGTAGTGTGTGCACTAAAGATCACAACAAGAATAAAGAATCAAAAAATGCTTAGGAGTGGTTATTTCTCTATGAAGAACTGTGTGAGCAGAAACATCTTTTAAAGATAAGTACATGCTCAAAAATAAGGCTTTGTGGTGGGACTGGAAAGGCTTTCTGCAAAGTGGGTTATCTCTGAAACATATGAAATCTTTTCATATGTAAATAAAGTAAAACTTGGCAGCTGTGGCATCTGTGAGAATGTGAGAGTTCTGGGAAATGAGTCATTCAGTGACAGAGATATGAAACTGTTTTTGAATATAAAAATATGTGAGCTACTTAAGAGTCCAGAGTGCCTGGGTTAGTGCTTCTGGCAGCAGAGTATCTCAGGTTGACAGGGTGAATCAAGAAATTAATAAACACTACAATTAGAGAAAGGGGAAAGCTGTGAGTAGTTAACGCTGTTTTTTTAAAAAAAACCAGTTCAATTCCATAATTAGAATCAAATATTAATTTGCTTAGTAGATACTCCTCGTTCTGCATCATCCTCTTGGCTGAAAAGAGCCTGAGGTTCAGGGGCAGTGAGCAGTTTGCCTGTGGGATGTGTGCTGCAATGGGCATGTGCAGGACAGATGCAGTTTGCCAGTACCCAATTCTCAGTTCTTCCTTCTCTGTGTGGCACTTGTGAGAAAATCGTGTGCTAACTTGGATGTGTTCCTAAAGTGCTTGGGTTTCCCGTGCAGGCTCAGAAATTTGTTAACCTGTGTTTAGAATAATATGCTTAAGCTGCCACATGCAGAAAACTGACTTTTTGGTTTTCATGAGATGAGACAGAAAACTAAATCTCATCATGCAATGCACACCACAAGCTATGCTTGAATGTGCTCACACCATGATTTTTCAGACCGGCAGCTCTCATCACTTTATATAAATAACCTCCATCCTCTCTTTTTCTCCTCCCTCCCCCCTCCATAATTGGGTACTCCAAGTCTGAGCTGGAGAGGAAATCTCTCAGGAGAGAGACAATGGAGACTGTTCCACTAGATATCTGTTCTCCTTAAAGTAAAACATACACATTAGAGACAGGCTTCTTGGGAATGATTTTGACTTTCCTGTTTATTAAGGAATAAGCTGTTTTTATGGAGAAAAATATCACATAAAGCCCAGAAACTAACTTGATTGGTTTTCCTTATTCATAAAGTTGAAAAAGTAAGGAGTGAAATGGAATTTCAATTTTCTCCTGCCTACCAAAGTTGAATATAAAGTTGGCTGTTTCTGAGATTCTAAAATGTGTAAACATGATAATACTGTCTACTTACTTCAGCTTGCACCAGAATTACAAATTTTCAAATACAGTGTTTGAAAATCCACTACTAGTAAAAGTAATGATGAGTATCTTAATCTTATCACTCAGGAGGCAGAGGCAGGATCTCAGTAAGTTTGAAGCCAGAGCAAGTTCCAGGACAGCCAGAGCTATACAGTGAGAGCTTGTCTAAAAAACAAAAACGAAAACAAAACCCAGTTCTGCTAGCATCCAATATCCTCAAAGGTGTTTATCTAGAAACCTTCCTGGGAGGGAGCTTTGTAGTAAATGACAGGGTTAGACACAGCTGCCACATTTCCAGGGTGAAGCCAGGTGCCACTGTTTCCCAGGCAACTCCAGGTAAAGTCTCAAGGCTCTAATGGCCATTATGCAAATGTAACTAACAATTTCTCCACACCAGGACTAAGGTAATTTATACATTGAACTAGCAAAGTACTCAGCTATCAGGAATTTAGCTCATTTAATACAGAGACATACTAATTTAATACATTTAATACAAAGGCATACTAATTCATGATATTGGAGGTTCACTTCTTTACAAACTATGAAATTTATCCAGGTATCTACACTGTCATATTATCACTTTTTCTTTCAAAAAATGTGCTTAAATGAGAATAACTGTGTGGCTTGCAGTTAGGTAAATATAGCAGTTATGGGATCCGTTTTTTTCTAAGGTGACCTGAACATTATTTTTCTGTGCTCTCACAAAGATTTTAGAAATGTTGTTTTTGAACTAACAATGAAATCCTATGTTTTTTTCTCATTTACTAATCAGTCTTGGCATATTTATTTTAGGTGCTTGTAAGGATCATAACTGTGTTCTCCCTTTAAAATCATTATATATGAATTTTATTTTTTAATTCAGTACCATACATGTAATATGTGACATGAACATTTTTAGGTGTCCAATAAACTTCGGATGCAGAATTTGAATCTCTAATATTGACAGAACTCATCCCCCACTCTATTTACTTGGAAGCACGAAGAACATTCAGTCAGTGGCTCTGTAGTTCACATGGACTTCAGCTTTCAGGTCACACACCATGCTCAACAGCTGCTTAATTACGCTTTCCATACAATTGTTGTAGCTTCTGTTCAACTCTTTTATCTTCTCTAGTGTTTGCTCTTCTATTTCATCTGAGAGGTGGCTCTGGGAGCCCATCATCTGTGAAAGCAAAAGATGAGATTTGTTTTAACATATGCCATTTTAAATTAAATTATTTTATAAACTTAAGCATATTTTTGATGATTGTTCTATGGTGTGAATGTGTGTGTGTGTGTGTGTGTGTGTGTGTGTGTGTGTGTACGTGTGCACACACACACACATGCCAGAATTCTTTCTTTTGGGAACAGACAAGGTTATGAAGAGCCTGATTGTGAAGGATGAACTTCCCTAAAGACACAGTGGGCTCATTCCATAGACTAAACTTGAGTTTCTAATCTTTATGCCTTACACACGCTTTCATATCACATTTAAAGTATATGCAATAATTTCAATTCTATTCTCAAATTTCCTGTTGTTTATTTTCTGAATTCCAATTTTGGAAAGTGGAGTAGAAAGGCAATACTAAGCTCATGTTTTCCTGACTTTACAGAGCAAAAAAATATAATAATTTTAAAGGAAGATGTAACTAAAATATGTTGTCTAAGGTAATTCATATATATATGATGTAGAATAACAGGTATAGTACTGAGAATTTTTTCATAAACTGGTTTTCATTCAGATGGAATTTTACTTGAATTACGCTTGTTCATTTAGTCACTTTTAAATTTTAGGCAGTTAAATTTTTCCTATTGCTCTTTATTAAGTAGTGATTCCTTTTTTTCATTTTTCTGATCCTATTAGCATCTTCATCAAGTCATTGTCTAAAATATAATCTAACAAAGAAAGACATCAATTGAAAGCAATGCTGCAGTTAAGTTTGCTCACATTTTCTCTCTCTCAACTCAGTCTCTCATCCTTGTCTTCCTCTTCTCTCTCCTTTACTTCCTTCTCTTCCTCCTCTTCTATTGGAGGAGGGATCTCAGGTAGCCCATATTTGCCACAAACTCACTATGTATCTGATAATGACCTTGACTTCTTCATCCTCTTAGCTCTTTAGTGCTGAATTAGAGTACTGTGTCACTATGTCCCATCTATTGGTTCTGCAGATTGAACCCAGGACTTCATTCCTGTGATGCAAACATGCTACCAACTAAGATACTTTCTTCTTCTTCTTTTTTTGGGGGGGTGTGTTTCGAGATAGTGTTTCTCTGTAGCTTTGGAGCCTGTCCTGGCACTCACTCTGTAGACCAGGGCTGTCTCGGACTCACAGAAATCCACCTGCCTCTGCCTCTCCACTGCTTGGAATAAAGGCCTGTGCCACCACTGCCTACTTGACCTTTCTTAAACATGGGTCTGTTAAGGCAAGACTATTGAGGGTTTTCATTTTCTGTTTTAGTAGCTATGTATTTAATGCAACCCCAGGTATGTATCAGTAACTTCTGTTGTAGAGTTGTTAGGTCACTATAACTCTAGAGTCTAGAACCTTTTTGGTTCTTAAGCTTGGGATGAAACACAATCCCAGCTAGTGGGTCTAAGTTCTTTCCTGTTTATACTCCAGGCATCAGGAGAACAAATCAAAGTATGTGACTCTGTGAAGCTTCAGTCCCTAAGAGCCAAGATAACCTTAACTAAAAGGGATTATGGTAACTGAGTGTCCCAGAAATAGATATGCATAGAGACAATTCCGTGTTTAAAAGTATTTGAGGCTACTTAACAAAATAGTTCCACAAAATGCATTTTTAAAATTTTAAATCCAGTGTCATAAGTGGAAGTCTACAAAATTGAACCAAAGATTCAACTAAAAGTCTTATGTGCTAAAAAAATTTGAAAGGCAAATACTTGTCAAACTATTGCCTATGCTTGGTACATATTACTGAAGTGAGAGGCTCCCCAGGTCTTACAAATAACTCAGTTCCTGTATTCTACAATTCACATTTTCCAAGGTGCATTTTAAAATTGGAAGTTGATCATTCCTTAACATGCCATGATACATGTCGGCTAAGAGTGTTGTCACTTAACTTTTATGTGCTCATTTTCAAACCTTTTTTGCAACCCTTTGTATAGCCTTATATCCTGGTATTGATGCTGAGTTAAGAGCTTTCAATACTTGACACTATCCTTTCTAATTTAAGTATTTCAGGCAAAGGGATAGGACAAGGTGCTGACACCAGGAGACCATGCCAGGGAAGACCTGCAATGATGGTTTTATACTATGCTTGATGTAGCACAGGCTCTGGTTCCTTTCATATATGCACCACCTTTGATCACTTAACTGTAAAATCAGATTGGGAGGCTATTCTAGAGTGATGAGGAGTTTTAATTATTGTTCAAAGTAGAGAGCAAATCTCCAGTCAGACTTACATTGGATTGAATCCTTCCCAGGGGAAAAAAAAAAAAAAAAAGGTTTCATGGGCTTTAAACCAAGCACTTTCTAAAACTGTGGTCAGTTTTGTTTTTACTTAAAAATTAGATGTAGTTGCCATTCCCTAAGCACCTACAGAAGATGATCAAAGCTGGCTATTGCTGATGAGGGCTGTCCTTTCTGTTCTAGTAAGTCATTCTCATGACAGACCTTGCTAGCAAGGATGGGGACACAGAGAAATGGTCACTGATTTGTTAATTCAACAAGGGTCTATTGAATGTCCACTTTGAAGCAATAGTAGGAAATCTAGGGAAACAACAGAAAACACAACAAGAACACATAATTTCTAGACTTATTGTCTAGAAAGAATGATAGCAACCACAATAAATGCAAATATACAAAGTATCATATAGTGATAAATGCTATGAAAAAAGCAAGGATAATATTATTTTCCCAAGAGGTTATTTCAGATAAGATAGTCAGAAAAAGAGGCTAACAGTTGAACATGGATAAAGAAAGAAGAGAATGTCTAAATAGAAGAGGATTACAAAGCCAAGAACAGTATAAGTAAAGGCCCTATGGCATTGGGATTCTTTGTGTCCTTAGGAAAAAAAGAGTCAGTACAATTTGAATAGAAAAGTTTAAAGATCTGCATAAGCACCAATCATGAACTTTGTACTGGTATGTATGGATAAGAAAGAGTTCAGAATTTTGGCTTCTAAACACTTACAGGAAGAATTAATTTTTCTGAATGAACCACTGTATGCCAAGATGTATGTGGTGTGTGTGTGTGCTGAGAATCCAATTCAGGGCCTAACACTTGCTAGGTAAATGCTCTGTCACTGAGCTATAGTCTTAGCCTAAGAAGGAAAATTATTGGAACAAAGAACTTACTTAGCAAAGGTTTATTTTTCTTTTTACAATTAGGTCCAACTTTTATATCTTTGTGAGTTGTGAGATCTTCACGTATTTCCCACTTAAAAAACAAAGGTTGGTGGGGGGCAGGGAATGGGAATGGGGATTGGCATGTAAAACCATCTTGTTTTAAATAAAAAAGGAAAAAATAATTAAAGGGTTGTAAATTAATTTCTAAACTCTTGTGCTTCATTTTGCAGTGGCAGGCTTCTTTATAGTATTATATTCATATTTTAATGGGACAAAATGTGCTACATGAAGTTACTATGATATATAGAAGTTAATGCTTTCTTTTAAGGCTGTTTGAAACATGGCATATTGTCCTTTCTGAAAATGTTATGCTCTTATTTTTTATTTATTATTTTATTTTGTTATTTATTTATAGGTTTTTGTGCATGTACATGCAGAGGCCAGAAAAACGTGCTGGATCTCCTGGAGCTGAAGTTGCAGGTGGTTTGAGCAGCCAGATATAGGTGCTGGGAATTGAACCAAGGTCTTCTGGAAGGGCAATAAGACTTGACTACTGAGCTATCTCTCCAGCATTATCGTGCACTTAACTTTCACTGCAAACTTCATACACTTCAAAAATGATAGGATGAAAACCGTCCAGGCTTCTTTCTTTATTTAAATGAAAATTTTACTGAATTAATGTATCTGGTTGCCAAGGAATCATAAGGAAATCCCAAGAGCTTTCTTTGTTTCTTAGTTTTTGAAACAGGGTCAGGAGGCCTTGAGCTCCAGCCTCTTACTTCCACTTCCTGTGTGTCTGCGATTACAAGCAGGTGTGGCACCAAAGCCCGAGGACTGGTATCTACATAAATGTGCTAAAAGAGAGCTGGCCTAACGAATGCAGTTTGCACCTTAGCTTGAACTCTGTTAGTAAGCATCAAGCCACAAAACACACATTTCTATGGTAAGAATTACTTCAAGGAGTCCTTTCAGGTATCTCTTTATTGATATGAATGCGAATACCCACTATACATCAGCCAGCAACCGAATGGCCTTCCTATATGACAAAAATGCATGAAAGTGAAATTAGCAAAAAGATTTGGTTGTATGTTCAACCTTGGCTAGACGGTGCTTGCTGAATCCCAAGCAGATTATTCTAGTATTCTGCCTTAACCCTTACACACAGGAACACTCATCAGAGCACCTGGAAGTCAGTGCCGGCCTCTTCCTCACCTTTGACTGCTTCAGGTGGAACTCCTTCTCCCTCTGCATTCTGTACTGGTCAGTCTCGGCCATGGCTTCTTCCTTAGCTTGCTTCAGTCGCTTCCCCTTTCCTGAGAATTAACAGCAGCAGAAGTAACAGATTTCTTTTTACCACTTTTAACAGTGCAAATGGTTGAAAAAATTGTTTTCTTCTGATATAGGGTCTCATTATTTAGCTTTAGCTGGCTGGTGACTTGCTTTGTAGACCAGACTAGCCTCAAACTCACGGAGATCTGCCTAGCCCTGCCACCTGAGTGTTGAGATTTAAGGTGTGCGCCAACACACCTGTAGCATTCAGTTACAAGCTAGCACTGCTCCTGTAGAGGATCTCCCAGCCCCCATTTCCAGTGGCTCACAACTGCCTGCAACTCTGAGTGCACGCATCATGTGCACAGGTGTAACTCTGAGTGCACACATCCTGTGCACAGGTGTAACCCTGTGAGTGCACGCATCATGTGCACAGGTGTAACCCTGTGAGTGCACACATCATGTGCACAGGCGTAAATCTGTAAGTGCAGTCATCATGTGCACAGGTTCACACACATTAACACATTTAAAAATAATAATAAAAATAAATATTTTGCTGGAGAGATAGCTTAGTCATTGAAGGCCGCTCATTTATCTTCTAAAGAATACAAGTTTGATTCCCAGCAACTGACTTTAAAAGTACATTGATGAATACTCCTTCATATATATATATATATATATATATATGTATATATATATACATATATATATATATGTGTGTGTGTATGTTCTATAAATATATATATTCTATTATGTAAAACTTCATTAAAATAATATTCAACTTTTTAGTTTCTTTTCTTCAATTGGGTCCTTTAGAACATGGAGTAACAATTCTCTTTCACATGTATACCTTAAAAAAAAATCTACCTATATACTCACAGCAGTAACAGCCAGAGAACAGCTTTTAGCTGTCACTTACTCAAAAAAAAGACATTATTTGGTCAGATTTTTCTGTCCTGACTGGTTGCCAGGCATCCTTCAGTCCACACCAACTGGATCCTATTTAGTGCTGGCAGACCTCCAGAATCATTGCAGACTGCAGCTCAGACTCTATCAAATGACTTTCAATTTTTAAGGCATTTTATTGGGAGTTTTTTTCTTCCCATTTGCTACTAGGGAATGTCTGATTAAGCTCAACAACACATCAAAGTAGTTTTTCTTATGGTAGCTTTCTCTGAGGGGGACTTGAAAGAGGCTGTAAAACCAATTGTTTTTAATGGTTGGGAGATTTAGCTAAGTACCCCCTTTCTTTTTATTAAGAGCAAAGGTGTAAGCCTTAAGCCACAAGACAAGGTAAGATGAAAGTCTTAGACAAACACTGCAGTGGGCATCATTAGTCATGCACATGCAATGGGCTCTTTTGACAACAGACTGATCATAATGACTGCTGTGTCCCCACCAGCCTCCACTTTCTAGGGGACAGGCATGAATACTCTGTAGCATTAAAACTTTCAAGAAACTCTGAACTTTATTATTTTCTCTCTTGGAATCTATTGCCTTTCAATGACTGTATTCTTCATTTATGTGACACATTTTATTCTCTGATCATGTCTCAAGTTTAGGTTACAAATTTTGCTGTTATACTGTACATGGCTGAACTAGATAAGTAGGCCACATTAAGTAGCAAGAAGGGATTTAAAACAATTTTAATTGTATTTAATATAATTACTTTTTGTGTGTATGTATGTGGGTGGATATGAGAGTGTGCGTTCTCATGTCAAGACATGTATAGCTGTCAGAAGACAACTCACTCTGTAGAGTGGGCTCTTTCCTTGTACCTTTCTGTAAGATCAAACTCAAATTCAGCCCTCCCCAGATAAGAGCTTTTAGCCCTTAAGCCATCTCACTGAAACAAGAAGAAAAAGTCTTAATATAAACATTTATTTGTCACCTGTATCTTTGTGGCATTTGTGTCACGTGGAGATTGTTTCTACATTTCTCTCCTGCCTGGGAACAAGTTGTTTCAGTAGTTATTGAATATGTGCTTAGAATAAAGACAGATTCACCTAGGTAGAACTTGGTAACACTTTTCAGAATAGATAACTAACCTTGTTTTTACTTTCTTTAAATACAAAGTCTGATGGACACTAATTTTGAGATTCTTTGGCCTTAGGAAAACACTAACAGCAAGCTTTCCATCTGCCTACTTAATGCTTACTGCCAACTGTATACTCTGCATGCTTCAGGACATTATGTCTCTATCTACTTCATGGCAACAAACATACCCTATTCACAGAGAATCTCTTGTCATAAGCATCAGGATAAAAATACAAACTTATCTTACTATTTTCTTAGTGATAATGACTTGATACTTAATTATTTTACAAAATGAATGGGGTAAAACATCCTTTTTCCCTATTTTGATCTCATAATATGTAAAATGACTGGTTTCAAAGTTATGACTCTGGTACATTTATTGAAAAGTTAATCGAAGGAAAAGCTCTCTGTGCCCTATCCCTGAGTAAGGCTCCACCACACAGTGACAGGCTTAGAGCCTGTCTGTGATTCCACTGTCAAGGCACCAGTCACCCGCTGGTTCTCATTCAATTACAGAGGAGAGCCACAGGAAATCACTGCTGGTGCAGCAATTTTCTGGATAGACTCAGCAGCTGCTGCTGTGTGAGAGCCTGCACATGCTACACCTGATTTAACCCAGTGTAAAAAATGGAATCCTAAAGCTGATGGTTTAGTTAGAGGTGAAGCAAAATGCATGCATCAAATCCATTCATATTAACCTCTAGCTCACTCCTCTCTATGTATGGGAAGAGTGCCAATGTTTGAAAGTATACCTAGTTCTTAAGCATTAAAACACAGTTACTATGAAACAAAAGAAATTCCTACTTTTTTATTCCCAATATATAACAGTGGAATTTATGCATACATAACACTTATAAGGATATACAGACTAATAAGACCAAGAGTTCTGATTTTTGGCTCAGAAAATGTATTCACTGTATGCATCATGATTTTAAATAATGTTCAAAAGGGTGCTGCAGAGTAGTTCCAGAAGGAATGGTTTTTCTTTAGTCTCCTATTATTTGTTCCTATTATTTGTTCAGTGATTTTTGACTACCTCTTCTACAAGCATAGAGCCAGACACAGAGAATGGACATGTAGATTTAGTCCTTGCCATGGAAAAGGTGGTATTAATTCAACATAGTTTGGAATTATGTACATCCTGTCCTAGCTTCCAAGAAGAGCATTATCAAACACACAAAATCTTAAAGAATATACAAGATCCTACTAGGAAAATAAGGACACATAAATATTGATTCTATTTGCTCTGCAATAATTGAAAAAATCACATTTATAGAGAGAAACTTCTAACTTTAAGCTTATGGAACATAGGGGCTTCACCCTAACCTCATTCCATCATCCTGTGTCTTTATGCTGATATTATATGCCAGGATATGATATGAACGGATAGCTACAGCATGGGCTCCAAGAAGACTGTTGGGAGAGCTTCAGAAGAACTGTGGAGGGAGCCTAGACAGCTGTAAGGATGGATGGGGCAAACAGGGAATTGGTAAAGGACAAAAGACCATTCTAAGCCAGTTTGAGAGACATTGTAAACAACTCCACTGAATAAAATCAGTCAATTTTACATGTATGACCTGATGTTCAGACAAAACTGTTCCACATTTAATCAGTCATTACTTAGAGGTATTCTGTAATGTTCTTTTCTGGATAAGAAAAAGGAGGTGGAAGTATTTGAAGCAATGTTCCAATGTGTCGGGAAAGAATTAAAAAAAAAATTACTGGGGACAAGCTAAAAGTGGTTTTGTGTAGGAAATGGGAGGCATTGCTCAAAGGCAGACTCCTTAGCTGCATGCCTAGACCAGGCCAAGGAACTGAGTGTCCTAAGATCCAAATAAGTACTGGAGACACAAATACAACTCTCTGTTGCTTGGACTGCTATTTTCTGTATGGGGTAAATGAGGTTTCTTTTTTTATCAGCTTAGATGGGAATCAGAATTACATAGTAGATATCATGTAGAAGATAATAAAAACTTTGAAAGTATGAGCCAGTTACTTAGAGTTTCTGAGTCTCTCTTCTCATCCAGACAGAAGTCTACTAGATAGACTTGTGTAGTACGTCTAATACAGAGAGTCATCTTGAAGATTAGCAAATGATATTAAGGAAGTGCTAAGAATTAATGATTCCAAATACTTTTAGGTGGGACACGCTGATACAAGGACAGGTCCTGGGTGTCACTAGAGAGATTCCTGAAGGTGTCCCTGAGAAAGTTCAAGGGCTGATAATACAGTTGGACATCTAAGTCTGCAATCAGGAGGATGGATTACGAGGGAAGAAGATTTGCATGTCAGTCATACAGGTCTTTGTATATGCTAATTGTGGCAATGGTGTTTAGATAAAAATCAAATGAGTGTATACAAGATGTAAAAGAGAGCTGTGGATGTAAGGTGGGGGAAATAACAACACTTAATCTTCAAAAAAAGGCATATGGTAGAGAAGTAAGTAAAACTAAAAGATAGAGAAGGGTATAACTAACAGTATACACATCATAGAGAACTGAAGTGAGACCCCTGGTCAGTTAGTATTGCTGAATAGCTAGTGTGTGTCATGCGCTAGTCTAGATATTTGGTTACAGCAGTGGAAGGTCACACACCTTGTTATCAGTCTGTATTCTGAATGCAATCTAGGAGACAGTGAGTAGATAATATGTATATAACATGACAGGGATATTGAGCACATGAAGAATAAAGGAGTCTAAGGGTAGAGAGAAATTGTGACAGGTTGTGATGAGGTTTCTCAGATGAAATGGCAAGTGAGCATATGGATAAGACAAATGGTCCTGTAGCTACCTGAAGGAAAAGGTTCATCCAGGTAGAGGGGACACTAAGCTCAATGGGTCCTGAGGTAGAAAATATGGTGTGCTAAGGAGGAGATAGTCTACCTAGAAGAATATTCTTGGTTTGGGGTCCTTGTTAAAATGATGATAAATCCTTCTTGATTTAGTTTTCACAATTGTTAAAAAATCAATGGAAAAATAAACAAGTCATCAGGAAGAAGAACAAAACA